TGGAGAAACTTCTTCCCAGTGAACTATGTGTCGTTATCCATGATAATGGAGTTCGAGACTCCAAAGCGATGAATGATGTCGAGGAAGAATAACACGGCCTGCTCGAACTTGATCATGGAGATCGGCTGAGCTTCTATCCACTTTATAAACTTGTCTACGGTGACAAGCAAATGCGTGTAGCCCCTGAGCGCTCTTTTGAGAGGTTCGACCATATCGAGCCCCCAGTCCGCGAATGGCCACATGATGGGGATCGTTTAGAGTGCTTGGGCTAGCAGGTGGGTCTGCCGGGCGTAGTATTGACACCCTTCGTAGGTGTGCACAATCTGCTCAGCGTCGACCACCGCGGTTGGCCAGTAGTAGCCCAGTCAGAACGTGTTTCTGACTAGGGTTCTAGGTGCGGCATGATGTCCACATACCCCACCGTGAATGTCCTTTAGCAGTTGCCTCCCTTGTTCGACGAGAATGCAACGCTGCAGGATCCTGGTGTGGTTTCATCTGTACAGCTCCGCCTCGATAATGACGAAAGACTTGTCTCGGCGTGCGATCCACTGGGCCTCCGTCTTGTCCGTCGGGAGCACTTTGCGGAGAAGCCAATCGAGGTATAGGGTCCTCTAGTCAGCTAGAGGGTCAAGCTCTGCCACTGGATCTTCGTCAAGCTCCATGACTTTGGGGTCAGAAGGGGCGGGTGGGCGGTGAGCCCTCGAGCCTAGGGCAAGTAGCTTGTCCTTGGTCTATCCCCATTCCTCGTAGCGGACCGAAGGCTTATGCTGATCACTGGCGAAGATGCCCGTCAGCACCGGCTCTTGGCTGGATGCCATCTTCGCTAGCGTGTCGGCCGCCTCGTTGAGCCGCCATGGGATGTGATTGAGTTCGAGGCCATCGAACTTGTCCTCTAGATGGTGGACTTCTCGGCAGTAAGCAGTCATCTTGGTGTCGTGGTAGCTTGACTCCTTCATGACTTGACCGATGACCAGCTGTGAGTCGCCTCGGACGTCAAGCCGTCGGATGCCTAGCTCAATTGCGATACGTAGGCCGTTGATGAGCGCCTCGTATTCAGCCACATTGTTGGAGGCGGAGAAATAGAGCCAGACCGTGTACTTCATGCATATCCCGAGGGGCGAAATGAAGACCAGCCCCGCGCTGACGCCTCTCTTCATCAGTGACCCATCGAAGTACATCGTCTAGTACTCTTGGTCAATGGCTGCTGGTGGCATCGGGACCTCGGTCCATTCCGCAATGAAATCAGCCAGCGCTTGGGACTTGATGGCCCTCCGAGGGGCATATGAAATGCTCTGACCCATTAGTTCGAGTGCCCCTCGAGCAGCTTCTCGAAGTGGTCGAGAGCACTCTCGACGGGCGCCCGACCACCTTTCCGCTCGGTAACGGCCACGAGCGAGGCCCCCGTGCTGTTGCTTGTTCTTCTTCTTATTCGGACGGTTAGAGGGGCCCTCGCCAGCGTCCTCGTCCCGTCTCGCTTTGCCTTTGGAGCGATAAAAAATTGCTTTCACCGCCTCCTCGCCTGAGGCATGGTTGGTCGTGATGTCGAGGATCTCCTTGGTGGTTCGAGGGCCCTTACGTCCTAGCTTGTGGACCAAGGACTCGCAGGTGGTCCTAGACAGGAAGACTTCGATGACGTCGGCGTCAGCGACATCAGGCAACTCATTGCATTGCCTGGAGAAGCGTCGGATGTACTCGCGAAGAGTCTCTCTGAACTTCTGTCGATAATTTTTTAGATCCTAGGGGTTCCCAGGGCGCGTGTAGGTGCCCTAGAAGTTTCTCACAAAGATCTCCTTCAAGTCCGTCCAACTTTGAATCCGGTTGGGCGGAAGGTGTTCCGACTATGTTCACGCCGAATCGACCAGAAACAAGGGGAGGTTGCGGATAATGAAGTAATCACTATCCGCGCCGTCATCTTGACAAGCAAGCCAGTAGTCCTCGAGCCACAAGCCGAGGTTCATTTCCCCAAAGTACTTCGGGACATTGATCGACGGTCGATACTGCGGTGGGAAAGCCGCGTTGAGGATGTGTCGACCGAAAGCCTAGGGCCCCGGCAGGTCGGGGCTCGGGCTTCGGTCTTCGCCGCTGTTGTAGCATCCACCGCGATGAGGATGGTAGCCATGACCAGCCTCCTCTCTCTTGTCACCCCATCCACGCCTGCAGGCGTATAGGGTGTTGCGTGCGTCATGATTGGGGCCGAGACGCTCATGCACCGGGACCATGGCAAGTCCCCGGCCATCACGTGACGCCTGGTGGACGGATACGTCCTAGCCATGTCATCCCAAAGACACGCGCTGACTGCATCGATCTCGCGTCATCGAGACAGCGAGCTTTCTGCCTGTTGCACCGCTGCGTGCTCGAGTAGCGTGCAGATCTCGTGGTGGGCTCGATGGTCTTCGGGTGTCGCGGGCTCTGGGAGCCTTTGCAGTAGGGCCACCATGGCAGCTATGTTCTGGCTTACCCGGGCGAAGTGCGGGAGGCCTCTGTCATCCTCAATGATCTTCTGGTTTACGTCGTGGGTGATAGCGCGTGCACGGCCACCTACATGCCGGGAATCCTCAAGCTCTGCGCGCTCTTGCTCCAGCTGGAGTCGTGCATCCTCGAGCTCCTGATGCCGTGCCCTTAGCTGTTCCACCTACATGCCGGGAAGGGCCCCCGCATCTTCTTCGACTTTGTCGTTGAAGTTGTTCGGTGGGGTAGCCCCTCCCTCGTGGATGCTTTCGACACGTCCCTCGGGGGTACCTACCATAAAACATTTCACGAGGGGTGGTGGCTCCCCCTACTGGTGTTAGAGTCAAAGATCGACTCTGAATCTCCCGCGAGAAGGTCGTGGAAAGACTCCGCGACGTAATCGGCCATTCCCACGAATTCGTCATCCGTGGGATGCGGGTACATGTGATGTACCGCGAGGTGACCAACGGTCCTCGCGGCATTGTGCAGACCAAACGGGAACATTATCGGGGCGTCTCGGGTGTGATATTCCAGAGAGAGCGGCTCCCCTCCAATAAGCTGCATCATGACATTAGCGATGGAGAAGGTGAGGCAGCGCACATCCTCCCGAGACAGTCGGGGTCTCAGGAAGGCGTCGAGCTGGCGCTCTAGCCTCCCGTAGTCAAAGCCAAGGAGCTGGCCGCTCCCAGGAACATGCGCGCAACTGTAGCTCCTTGAGGGCTTTGACGGTTGCGTCGAGGCCGGTGGAGCGAAGAAGTTGGATGAGGGCGGGAGCCCGCGCCAGCTCTCCCTCTGCGGTGACAATGAAGTCCAAGCTCTCGAAGCGCACGCGCGCGCCTGGGCCCTAGCTAATGCCGTGGTTAGCCATCCCAGGCCCGATGTGGACGTCGAGACACGCAAAAGCCCCTACCTGGTGCGCCAACTGTCGGTGTTTCAGATCACCGGCTAGTAAATTTCTAGTTTGCAGCGTCTGACCCGGATGGCTATGCTTGGAAGACACAAGGATTTATATTGGTTCGAGCGGAATATCCCTACGTCCAGTTTGCTGCTACTCGTGTTACCGACACTTGGTTTGTAGTATGGATTACAAACAGACGAGAGAAGGAGCTGGTCCCAAGCCTCTGGTGGAAAGGTCGAGTGGGATTGAGTCTTGCTCTACAATCGAGCGCCTAAGCCTTTAGCCGCTCAGGCATGTTAGATGTGCAGGAATGCATACCTCTTTCCCCCTCCATGGGGCACCCTGCTTTCTCTTTTGTAGATGAAGGGGAAGACACATGTTACATCAGAGAGAGAGAGGGAGACAAAGAGAAGAAGGCTTCCGGGATTGAGGCGTCCTCCATCTCCTTTAGCGGGTCCCGCCGGCCCTGTAGATGACGACGGGGACGGCTCCACGTCGCGGCCCAATTTGTCATTGGCGCCGTACGTGGGCGTCGTTAGCTAGTCGTGGCGCTCCATTCCGTCCCAGCGGACGGTATGGCTAGCGGACGCCTCCGCTGGGGGCCGTATGGGAAGTAGGTAGCACAGCGCTAGCACGCCTGATGCTGTTGGCGACGTGCGTCCTCAGACGTGGCTTGTCGTGGCCACGGATCACGTTAAGACGCGTCTGCTCCCCTTTTGGCGTCAGAAGTTTGACCCTGGACTCGTGCTCTTAGACCCGTAGTGGTTGGGTCGGTACGGATCTCCGTCGGGCGAGGCGGAATCCCCCTTCGAAGGGTCGAGCGAGGCAGAGCCCGCGCCCTCGGGGTCGGGCGAGACGGAGTCTGCGCTCTCGAGATCGGGCGAGACGGAGCCCGCGTCCCTAGGGTCGGACGTGATGGGGCTCTTGCTCGAGGGTCGGGCGAGACGGGGCCTACGCCCTTGGGGTTAGGTGACCCGGGTCCCACGTCCTTGAGGTTGGACGAGACAGAACCCGTGCCTTCGGGGCCGGACGAGATCAAGATACGCTCTTGACCATCAAAAAAGTTAGCGTTCGCGACCATTAACTTCTTTCTTACGGGTATCCTGATAGTGATAGCAGACACGCAGCTAGCCGTCCAACAGCAGAAGGAAATTTAAGGAACACGTCATAAATGGCATGATCCGATAGTGCCAGAGAGACAGGAAGAACGAAACAGACAGAAGGATTCCGTGGCTCTACTCGCCCAGCCAGCAGCCGAGTAGCGGATTCAGAACTTGGGATTCAGTAGCGTACAGTATCCGTCCGTTTTGCGCGCTGATTCGTCCATTACTGTGGTCTGCGGATGCGCGCTGCCCCATCCGTCTCTCTCTACCCGTGCCTGCGTAATGGTGGATGGAATGGAACTCGGAGGAGATCAGATGGAGGAGCGGAGCGCAGTCACCGAGGAGGCCCTGCCAATTTACTCCCCTTCACTTCATCTCGTGTGACCGCGAGCCTGCCTGGTCCTCACGTGACCTCCCTCCCCGTCTCAAATTCTCGCCACGCCTCCCGCGCTCGGCGCTCCCACTGCTCGCCGCTTCAAATACTGACACCAAACGAACCCAGCTGCCTCGTCTCCATGAACCATCGCAAACCAGATCAGTTGGCAGCAGCAATGGATGTCACCAGGGTGTTACTAGTCTGCCACTCGCTGTTCTTGCTGCTGCTCCTTCCGGCGGTCGTCCTCGGTGCCGCCGCGGAGACGATGCAGACCTACATCGTGCAGCTGCACCCGCACGACGAGGGTGACAGCGGCGAGGCCATGCTCTCCGCCTCCAGGTCCAAGGTCGACTGGCACCTCTCCTTCCTGGAGAGGTCCATGGCGTGGGAGCAGGAGAAGCTCCCGTCCTCGCGCCTCCTCTACTCCTACCACACCGTGTTCGACGGCTTCGCGGCGCAGCTCACGGACGGCGAGGCCGCGGCGCTGCGTGCGCTCCCGGGCGTCGCGTCGGTGCGCGCCGACCGGCGGGTGGAGCTGCACACCACATACTCGTACCGCTTCCTGGGGCTCAACTTCTGCCCCACCGGCGCGTGGGCGCGGTCCGGGTACGGCCGCGGCACCATCATCGGGGTGCTCGACACCGGGGTGTGGCCCGAGAACCCCAGCTTCAACGACCGCGGTATGCCGCCGGCGCCCGTGCGGTGGGGCGGCGTGTGCCAGGGCGGGGAGCACTTCAACGCCTCCAACTGCAACCGGAAGCTCATCGGGGCGCGGTTCTACTCCAAGGGCCACCGCGCCAACTACCCGACCAACCCTTCGGAGGCGGCATCGCTGCTGGAGTACGTGTCGCCGCGGGACGCGCACGGGCATGGCACGCACACGGCGTCCACGGCGGCGGGCGCGGCCGTCGCCGGGGCCAGCGTCCTGGGCGCCGGGCTCGGGGAGGCGCGCGGCGTGGCCCCAGGCGCGCACGTCGCCGCATACAAGGTGTGTTGGTTCAACGGCTGCTACAGCTCCGACATCCTCGCCGGGATGGACGACGCGGTGCGCGACGGCGTCGACGTGCTGTCCCTCTCCCTCGGCGGGTTCCCCATCCCGCTCTTCGAGGACAGCATCGCCATCGGCAGCTTCCGCGCCACGGCCCGCGGCGTCTCCGTCGTGTGCGCCGCCGGGAACAACGGGCCAGAGCGGAGCTCCGTCGCCAACGAGGCGCCGTGGGTGCTGACCGTCGGCGCAGCCACCCTGGACCGCCGCTTCCCGGCGTACGTCCGGCTCGGTGACGGCCGGGTCCTGTACGGCGAGTCCATGTACCCTGGGGAAATCGGTTTGAAAAAAGGCGGGAAGGAGCTCGAGCTGGTGTACGCCGTTGGTGGGACCCGGGAATCCGAGTACTGCCTCAAGGGGTCCCTGGATAAAGCCGCCGTCGCCGGAAAGATGGTGGTCTGCGACCGCGGCATCACGGGCCGCGCCGACAAAGGCGAGGCGGTAAAAGAAGCAGGCGGCGCGGCCATGGTGCTCGCCAACTCCGAGATAAACCGGCAGGAGGACTCCATCGACGTCCACATCCTGCCAGCGACGCTCATAGGGTACCGGGAGGCCGTGGAGCTGAAGAAATACATCAGATCGACGCCGCGGCCAGTGGCGAGGATAGTGTTCGGCGGCACGCGGATCGGGCGCGCGCGCGCTCCGGCGGTGGCCGTGTTCTCCGCGCGCGGGCCGAGCCTGACGAACCCGTCGGTGCTGAAGCCCGACGTGGTCGCCCCCGGGGTGAACATCATCGCGGCGTGGCCCGGGAACCTGGGCCCGTCGGGTCTGGAGAGCGACGCCCGCCGGTCCAACTTCACCGTGCTCTCGGGGACGTCGATGGCGGCGCCTCACGTGAGCGGCATCGCGGCGCTGATCCGGTCCGCGCACCCGTCCTGGAGCCCGGCGATGGTCCGGTCCGCGATCATGACCACGGCCGACATAACCGACCGGCAGGGCAAAGCGATCATGGACGGCGGCGGCGACGGCGGGCGCGCCGGCGTGTTCGCCATGGGCGCGGGGCACGTGAGCCCGGCGCGCGCCGTCGACCCGGGCCTCGTGTACGACATCCAGCCCGCCGACTACGTGACGCACCTGTGCACGCTCGGGTACACCCACCTGGAGATCTTCAAGATCACCCACACCGGGGTCAACTGCAGCGCGGCGCTCCGCGGGGACAGGAACAGGGGCTTCTTCTGCCTCAACTACCCGTCGATCGCGGTCGCGCTCAGGAACGGCGCCAGGTCGGCGGTGCTGCGGCGGACGGTGACCAACGTCGGCACGCCCAACTCGACGTACGCCGTGCAGGTGTCCGCTCCGCCTGGAGTGAAGGTCACGGTGTCGCCCACGACGCTGTCGTTCGTGGAGTTCGGCGAGCAGCGGAGCTTCCAGGTGACCGTGGACGCGCCGTCGCCGCCCGCGGCGAAGGACAGCGCCGAGGGGTACCTGGTGTGGAAGCAGAGCGGGGGCCAGGGGAGGCACGTCGTGAGGAGCCCCATCGCCGTGACCTGGGTGGTGGAGTAGCGGTCGCAGCTGCTCGTCCCTAGCTAGCTGGTGTAGACGTGTAGTGTAGTGCCCTCTGTATCAAGCTCCTGTGTCAAGGTTGGTTGGTTCCTGCGGCGAGCGGCAAACCTGACTGTTTTACCGCATCAGAGGCAGCGAGTTTACAGTAGCTGAATTTGCGAGTCGATGTGTATAAACACAGGATTCCTAGTTCAGTTGGGTGAAACTTTTGTCCCTCGTCATTTACAGTAGCTCATTCGTACACTTGCTAGCTCCGCCGCTGTGGCGCTGTTCCTGTTGTCGCCGACTGACGAAAAGCGAGGGAGGTCACTAGGTCGCCGTGAGTGTGAGGTGAGCTCCTCATGAATCATTTCTGCCATCGTTTACAGAAGGTCCATGTCACGATCCTTGATAGCAAGAGGGTTTTGCCCCGGCGTCGCGCACAGCAACAGAGCACGGCGATGCCGTCTCAAGCAGATAAGTGAGGAGGAAGACTAGTAGAGACAGGGGGGGGGGGATGATTGTTTTATTCATGTTCGATATCCCTGCCAATCAATCCACAAGTGCACATATAGGTTCACTACATGAGCCAAGCCCAATACAAAATAGGCTCGCAGACCTTAACACTCACCTGCCAACTACTCATATTACTAGCCATGGCCAGGGCCATGACAGTCCAAAGACTTACTGGGCCAAGATGGGGTGAACGCCTGCTAGTTGGGCACTTGGGCTTAAGTGGCTGCGAATGGCAAGGCCTCTCCAGCCACGTAAACGTGTGCTTATGTGGGCTCTCTGCTCCACCGGCAGCCGTGGCTCCCGAGGCAGAGGCCACAGCTGCTCCACCACCACCAAGGTATACGACCACGCCGGGTGGCACTGACAGCATGCCATAGACCCATCCTCCAATGTCGAACAATGGTGCCCTCGCCGCTCTGCAGACCTCATCTGCGGGGCGGGACCTAGCTAGCGGACCTCTGTTAATAAATATTAACTGAGACGGACAAAGCAACCACCTCTATAGGTCCGGATTAACCGTGACTTTTGATCGGAGACGGTTACATTGCCCACCTCCATTAATCAAAAAGGCATGCCTCCATTAAAGTTACTATAGTAGCGAGCGGGGCACACCACCGCGTCATATCGGCTCATTTTGTGCAGTGGGAGGAGTTATCCTCGTCATCAACGTACCATCCATGTTGTTGCATGATCTACAAGAGGCGACGTCGTAGCTCCAAGGATAAGCAGGGCTATCGACGATGATGACCGACACAACTGCCACGGCCACGGGCGGCGATGCCGCTGGCAGGGCCAACCACGATTTTGTGGTCTTGAAGGCCTAGACGACGACCACAGGGTGGGCGTGCACTACGGGAGAAAGACATGCCCCATCCTAGCACCAATGGATGTGTATGGGATGGGTGCACTACAGGAGAAAGACCATATCCATGGGATGTGTCCAGTGTAAGAGAGACGTGCATGAATATAGGGATGTTAGAGTTCGACCTTCGCCTCCAGATCCACTCCGCCATCGTATCTCGCCTACCCCACCACTACCACACTAGATTCATACTCCAATAATGCCAACCATCTCATCGAAACTGCACTAGTCCATTGTTAACCGCCACTTAACTAGACATCAACTACTCCGATATCTAACGTGGCTCCTAGACGTCCACACTCCTCTAACGTCAGCTCTACTGACGCCTCTGAGTGATGGAGTGGCGCCTCCAACTCCAGCTCTGCTAACGCCTCTGACCCAGCTCTGCTGACACTGGCTCCTAGACATCCACTCCTCCGACGTTTAACGCACGCGACCAAGCTGGCCACAAGCGAGGCCGCTCGGGCGGAGACGATATACTTGGGATGTGTGCATTATAGAAGAGAGACAATGTGCATAGAGATAGAGATGTAAGGGTTCGACCTCCGCCTCCTAAAGTCACTCCACCGCCATATCTCACCCACCCCGCCTGCCAGACCAGATCCATACTCCAATGATTCCAGCTATCTCATCGGTGACACACTAGTTTGCCTTACCGTTAATCGCAACCCGCACCAGTAGTATAGCCAACCCTGCCCTACCACATCAATACCAGCCTCTTATCCATTCCCGTTCGATCATGGTGGGGGAGTAAGTCAAAATGGAAAAAATCACATTAGGTTTAAGGATAACTAGACTCGAATTGGGTACATCCATTAATGGGAAAATTGGATTCAATTGTTAACCAGTCCTATCGAAAATAGGATTGACTATAGATTCGAGCAATAGCACATGGTTTCATAAAAATACCGTCATCCCGCCCATTGGAGCTGCAACAATTCCCATGTCGAGCTACAACCAACTCCAAAGACCATGTCCCGACCAGCGGAGCTCCACCACTTCACCGCGCCGACCTACAACCCCAGCCACCACATTATAACACCCTAATTCATGATTTGTAGTAATTTATTTCTTTCTAGAATTAATTAGCGCTAAGACCTAATTTGTTAGTGGAGGAAAATAATTTTTATAAACTATGTTAAACATAACATAGGTTATGTAACTTTTGTTGCATCCATGCCGTATGCATAGTGTTTATTTATTTGTGCCATTTTTTTTTAAAAAAAATATGCTTCGGTCAATTAAGTTAAAATTCATAAAGCTCCTGTTGGGCTCAATACCTCTCTCAAGCTCCAGCCGGCCTCCTTTTCCTCCTGGGTCGAAGCCCACCCAGCTGACCCAGTTCCTCCCTCCCTCCCTCCCTCTTTTTTTTTAAAAAAAAATCTAATTTGTCTCATGGTTGTTTGATTTTGCTTTCCAAATTATAAAATCAGTTTTTTTTTATCTCTCTCAATTTTTAAAACCGTTTATAGTTGAGGGAGCAAAATTGGACGACTGTCATGATTGTGGAAGATAAATTGGACTTTCTCATAATACGATCTCTCCTCTCTGCTACGGGAGCTCCGACCAGGTCTCCATCCAATCTTTTCTCGAACTCCTTTTTTCTTCGTGGCTGTAGGAGCTGTTTGGCTGATGGTTTCTACGTCTGATAAGTTGGTTGATGTTGATTTGTTGTAAGAGAAAACAATATACCATATTAAGCCGGTCTGTACTGTGTAACAGATCGTCTCAACTATCGAGCAAAGCCATGCATCATGGACATCGGGCACATGGTCTGGTGTTGATCGCCAGGTGCTAGCTAGGTTGCAAGCGCGCAATCGAGACTCTAGCTAGCTTCTCATGTTCACAGTTTCACTCAACTTTTTCACTTGCCCCAGGGCCCGAGTGCAGTGCTTGCAGCCAAGTTAACAATCCACCCCGTTCCATTGAGATAAGCACCATGTTCACTTGTTGGTTTCAGACAGACTTATTTAACCAGCTAACAGTATTTTTCTCTCACAGTAAACCAGCACCAGCTAGTCCAAAGCAGCTCAGAAACCAACCAGCGAACACGTTGAAGGATGGGTCAGACGCCCTCACCTCAGTTACAACGTACCACAGCGGAAATCCTGACGCTGCACGAGAGTGTACCTGACACGAAGTTGCCCGTCGTTCGTCATGGAGGGTCCCGAGCTTATTTCGGCTTTCAAAAGTGGTGAAATCTCGGCTTTCAAAAGTAATGATGGGACGGTATGATATGAAAAGTTTAAGTAGGTTTATGTATCGCTCATGACGGCGACTTCCAGCTGATGAAAATAAAGCTGCCCACATTCTCTTCAGTCTTGTCTGAACATGGCTCAATCTTTATAAATTTTATTTACACGGGGATGGTTTTTCCCATGGGTTTCAGAGTGCAACCTTTATCAGTTTTATACGGTGTTTCGTACCTATCTCTGATGCAACAGAAGGGCTTGGAGAATACTCCTATCCTTGTGACATGCATATACCAAGCCAACGCGCTCAACATCCATTTTGGTTTGTGTGAAGTACAAGAAGCCAACCAGGGTTCAGAAGAAGCTGGCTCTTGGTGCAGCCAAAGGCAAAAGGAGAGCAGGGAGCGGTCTGAACTTTGAAGCCCATAAAACGCGGGGCACTTTGCCTTGACGATCCTTGCTTGTCCCAGTGATCCAAAGTGGCCATGCTTTAGCCCTCGTTGTTTTGTGCACTAAACAAAAGCCAGCTCCTTGAAGATGAAAAGGTTACACTCACACATGGCATTGTTTTCCTTCAGCTGGCGCCACATTGTTCAGAGAGACAGAGATGACCCACATAGAATCCGAAGGAGATCAGCACCGGACCCTACTTTGGCTTATTGGCTAAGCTATGTGATTAGCAGCCGGGATTGTTCAGTTTGTTCTTGCCTGATGCAGTAACCCAGCAGCTTTTTTTTTGTTCCTTTCCTGGTGAGCGGTCGACAGCGGAGGGACGGAATCTCTTCCTCGCCCATCTCTTCTCCGCTCGATTCCCTCCACCGGTCTCCCTCCCTGCCTCCACGACGGCACGTCCTCAGCCTGATCCACGCCATGGAGAAAGATGGCGCAATCCTGGTGCGTCTGGGAGGATCGAGCCTGAATTGCTCTAAACAAATTGCTCGCATGCGTCATTCCCTTATATTTTGTTATACTTTTCTCAGTGTACTTTCATAAATTTACAGTGCTATAACAAAGATTTTTTTTTTATAAGGGTAATTTATCGAAGCACTTAGCCTGCAGGAGACATGTAACCTCCAATTTAAATTGTCATGCCAACTTGTAAAGGGGATACTTGTATCTTATAGTGTTGCTGCTCGGAGATATTTCTATCTTGTAGTGTTGCTACTCTTAATAGCTGATTAAAGGTAAAATTGATTTAGTTTGACTCCAACACTTTGATTTAGCAATTGGTCTCAGCCACTTTGCACATCTGCTTTACCGAATCTGGAAAATTCCTGAATGATCGACTGAAATATATAACAAACTAATTTGGATTATGCTAAGTAATCTGCTGCTTCTATGCGTGAACGCACGGTAAGAGAAGGCGGCGTCGAAAAGACTCCCTGTTGTGGTACTGTAGCCACAGCAGGGGGCGCCGAACGACTCTCCTGCCGCATTGTAGCCACAACAGG